CATGACAGATACCAGGGTAGTGACCAGTTTTACCACATCGTTTACAGTTGATAGATGAGGCTTGGGATTTCCGGGGACATGTAGCCTTGGTATGTGATTTGGCACCACACAGCTGGCATCTCGCGGCGTCGTCCTTAGGGGCAGCCGCATCACAATTGTGCGCTACATGTCCCAAACCTTCACAACGATAGCATCCTTCTTCTCTCTAGCTCGTTGTGTCATCGTCGTCATGACCTGTACCCTGTCGAACCCTGTGGTTTTACCCCTCGTTGCTTCAGCCAGTGTCGAAGTAGGATTCAGCAACATAGCCTGGGGGTTGCCCACTCGTGCATCTTCAAAGCTACGAGAGTAGTTACCGACCGTCTGAACATACTGTCGGTATGTCAGACTCGTCAACGGGTCTGCTATCGCTCGTGCTGCTTGTGCTACCGCACTCTTGAGGCCATTAGAGAACTTGGTGATGAGGGTCAGGTCGTCAAGCTTACCAGCTCGTGCTTCCTGTAATATTCGTTGTTCCTCAAATCTGTTGATATATGATCTAACAGTTTCATCCTTGCGCTGAGCCAGGCTTTGCCATGCCTCCATGGCAGCTCTCCTTGCTAGGGGAGAGTCATACATATTCCTTAAGATGTCAATGAGCTTAGCATAGGCGAGGTCGTCCGGTAGAGCATAAACGCCTGCATTAGCCGCGCTTTGCCTTATAGCGGTCAGTGCTGGGTTCCTTAGATGCAAGAAGACGAACTCAATCCTGGCAGCCGCGGAGCAGAACGGAGATGATCTCAACGCTGCCGTAAGTTTCTCAATAAACAGGATAAAGTCGTTCCCGCTACCATCAAATGGCTCGATGCCTGATACATCAGCCAATTGCTTCGCTCTACGATGCCCTTTAAAGAAGAGTTCATCACGGGATCCGCCGATCGGTGCGCCCAGAGCCGAAACATATTCCGTACCAGACGTGTGTCCGGACAGGAGTGAGGCATCATTAGCCGTACCATGCTGCACACCGGCCGCATTCCCCGGTTGCTCGGGAGGGATAGAAACCTTCACCATTGGAGCAGCGCTATCGGGTACCTTAGCAAATCCCGGGTAACCCACCAGGCCAGCCTGTACTGGACTCGGTACAGGAGGCAGATAGGGACCAGTAGCGACCGGCTCCTCTCGAGGGCCTTGTTTGGAGAAGCTACGGGCAAAGCCCGTAGCCAGAGAACCGACGTACCTGCGATAGGCGTCAACAGTGACCACCAGTGAGTCTCTGAGAGCCTTCCTGCCTTTTATAGTTTTACCGGAGAGTTCCACCACCGTGAAGACCACACACCATTTTAGAGCCACCAAGAGCCACCAGATATCTTCAGGGGCCCCTCCGCCTTCCAAGGGGTAGGGATAGCACAGTTCCTCGGCCAATAATTGGTGGAGTTCTGTGATGAAGGCCTCGAAGTGACCCTGAACAGCGGGTAGCGGATCCTGCGCTATATAACTCACGACAGTTTCGTGATCCTTGTAGGCATCACAGAGGGCGACCCCGAGAGGACCAAGTTTACCAAAGAAAGAACCACCAGACTCCTCGTTGATAGCAGTCTCGAGTAGACGAGTTGCAGCCACCAAAGCTGGGGTTCTCGGCACAGCCCCCAGTGTAGTGTTATTATGTTGACTGGAACTCTGGGCA